AGAGCAGCAGAAATCAGCAAATAAGACCTGCACTCCTAATCACTGGTAAGATCCTTGAGCAATAATTTAAGACAAATGACAGAGTTTTTTGACTACCACTAACTTTTTGATCGTCAACATGGCTTCAGGAAGTTACCTGCTCTGATCTGTTGTTAAACCTCTCCACTAAGTCACCCGTCAAGGATGAATCCAAAGTCACTTTGGGGGGCACTGGACATTGCTGCGCTTTTGACCGGGTGTGCACCAGGGGCCCCTTAGAAAACTTTTAAGCATGGGAATTGCAGGCTCTACGCGTCTCCTCAGTGATTACCTTCATGGTAGATCTCTAAGTGTAGTTCTCAAAGGAACGGAATCACCCAAAACATCCTATTGGGGGCAAGTGTTCCACAAGGGAAGGGCTGGTCCTTGTTAGGAATGTCTACTTCAAAAGACCTTTTTCATCCTCCCAGAATCCCCATGCATATGCAGACGATGTACATGACATTTACTTATCCAAGAGAAGAAATGCCACTTCTCAAGCTAATCAACACAGCTGAGAGCTTACAGCTTTGGGGGGAAAAAGATGGCAAGTAACTTTGCACCTGAGAAAACGCAAAAGTGTCGTCTCTAGGCACCATGATGGGGAATGCTGGTGCATGTAAGATGAATGGGGGGGTGTTGGGACTGGAAAGAAGTTGATATCCTTGGGGGGGAATTTGACTCCCAAAAAACCATGAAGAACCAGTTTAAATCTTGCAAACAAGGCACCGGAAGCTTACAGACTTCGCCGTATCTCGCATCGCTTACAGTAGGGTTGCAAGATCCTGTACGAGGCACTAGTACGGCTCCACCTTGAGTATGCCTGCCCCCCCTCTCATCTGCGACGCTTGACAGAGTAGAGAATAGAGCAAGACGTCTCATCCTCCTCCCTGGCCCCATCCTGGATAGAATCTGGTCATTTCAGCAGATCCTTCACATAGAGGGATGTGGGTGCGCTGCCCTTACTGTAAGTACAAGGCCAATATTGTCAAAATCCCACACTTGGATCCACTTCGAGACAGCGTGAAACAAGCTTTTATCCACAAAACGGGCAGAAAGCAGCAACTTTTCACTCTGGCTGTACCCTTCTCCAAACGTCACCCATCTGAGCTCATACATACCCGATGACTCGAGTTGGAACACAATTCGTACAGGAAATGATGTCAACGAGCTAAAGTCAGTTGATCAAATGTAAAATGCTGGCCCACAGAATGGCTCCCAACTTCATCCTGTTTCCTACTAGTTATGTCTCATAACAAAAAAAACGCTTCAAATGAGCAGATGTAGGAAAACAGCATCTTAGCTTGCCAATAAAAGTTAAGGAACCTTAACCCTGTAAATAGCTGTCAATAAAGCTGGATCCTAACCTTGTCAAACCCTGTGTAAAAAAAAAAAAAAAAATATACAGTTAAATAACCTATGGTGGTGTCAAATATCGTATTAATAAAAATAAGATCCAGGTTTTATCTTTAATCTCTGATAAATCTTTATGCGTTCCAGAAGTTTTTCTACTCCCTAGCCAGGCCATGGGCCAGGCTCGACTGGTGCTGTGAGCGCCGTCAACCAGCTGTTGCTGCTGGTGGTCCCTCCAGCATATAGTAAGGCTGGTTTTACTCTCTCCTGGTCATGGAACTGGGTTAGCGGGGGCTAGACCACCCAAACACACTCAGGGTATACTCAATTATATTGACTATCCTAACAAGTTTCAAAAATTGCTAGCAAGAGATAAGTCAACTGTAAGACATAAGTCCAGATATGAAGAGATGCCCTCTCACCTTTTTGAGTCTAGCTTCTTAGGCCTCTAGTGTATCCATAATGCTCTTGCGCTACGCCCTATCACAGAATGGATATGGAATGCACAATAAACTAGCCTTAGGCGTGCAAAATCAAATCTAACCAAGACAATAATGATGACACTAAGGTAGTGTCTTCTAGACGAAATATTGCTGCCAGCACTATGAGCCCCATTTTAAGGCTACATAATGTATATTACATTTAAACAAATGCCTGGCAATCAATTCAATACCTAAGTATGCATACTCCAAGATACCTCAAACGTACTCCATGGAAAGCGACAAGAAAGTATCATGACTACACCAGAAAAGATATTAGAGAGAATTCATTCCAAACTTGCGCACTGATAAAATTTCCATTACGAAAATGTCGGCAGTGTGGAGACAGTGCAGAAATAATCCCCAATAAAAACAGAGAGTCCAAAATCTTTCCGGGAGTAAAAAGACTCGAAATTCCTCAAAGGTATATGTCTTAACATATACAGTACGAGGAAATATAAATACACCTCTGTCTTCAAAAGAAAACTCGACAGATTGTTGTACAGTGTTCCTATCAGCAGGCTGGGAGCCCAGATAAGACAGCGCAGAAAAGCACCGACAGTTGAATGACACGCCTACATCTGTGGTAACAGTCACATGAACCATCACCAGCGAAGACACCAAGCACAGGTATCGTGGGCTCACCTGCTGCGTACTGTGGGTTGCATTCCAAGAACACATTTATTGTCCGTCACGAACACTATGACTACACACCTGGCTTCATGCCAGCCCACACACTTTGTGAAACACCTGTCTGCACACATAGTTACACAACTACCCAAATACACTGTTATACAAATGCCTACAAAACACACACAACCACACACACACACACACACACACACACACACACACACACACAACACACACACACACACACACACACACACACACAGCCAAGAGCTATGAATCGAACCCTGCATCCACAATTAGATAAGTACACGTACACACACACAACGCACACGCACACACACGACGCACACACAACACACGCACACGCACACACGCACACACACACACATCAGAATCAGCAGAGGAGGGCAGAGCAACAACACACAGAATTACCCCCAGAACCCCACAATCAAACACGCTATCCCAGCACAAACCACAAACCACACTTGTAGCCCCCACCCCACACTACACTGTAGAATCCCACAGCACACTGCCAGGTCCCCCACCCTCACAGACCCCCCAGAACAGTGTTGGAGAGGAAACTGAAGGTATGGTACACCAACGCTGATGGAATAACGAATAAGTGGGAGGAGTGGCGCGGACGAGTCAAAGAGGCATCAATGGACATCGTAGCTCTCACAGAAACCAAGCTCACAGGAATGATAACAGATGCTATCTTTCCAATGGAATATCAGATCCTGAGGAAAGACAGAGGAAACAGAGGGGTGGAGGAGTGGCACTGCTCATCAAAAACCGATGGGATATTGATGAGGTGAGAGAGAGGAGACGGAGAAGCAAGAGACTACACAATAGAATACTTCAGTCTGTAAGTCCCAAGGAGGTAATTGCAGTGATGTATAACCCGCCACAGAACAGCAGGAGGCCAAGGCAAGAGTATGATGAGAGTAACAGAGTGATGGTTGACACACTAGCTGAAGTGGCCAGACGGGCTCATGCGAGCACGGCAAAGCTGCTGATTACGGGTGACTTCAACAACAAGGAAATCGACTGGGAGAAACTGGAGCCACACGAGGGCCCAGGAACGTAGAGGGCTAAGATGATGGAGGTGGTTACTGGAAAACCTCATGTCCCAAAACATGTAAGGGACACTACCAGAGAGAGAGGAGAGGATGAACCAGCAAGACTGGACCTAGTAATCACCTTGAGTAGTGCAGATATTGAGCACATCACATGTGAAAGACCCCTGGGGACCAGTGATCACGTGGTTCTGAGCTTCGAATACATAGATTTACAAGTGAAGAGGGAAGCAGGAAGGGAAGGACGAATGAAGCCAAACTACAAAAAGGGGACTACACAGGCATGAAGAGATTTTCTGCATGGGGTTCAGTGGGACAGAGAACTGGCAAGGAAATCAGTAAACGAGATTATGGAATATGTGATAACAATATGCAAGAATGCTGACGAGAGGTTTGTACCCAAGGGTAACAGAAATAACGAGAAAGCCAGGATGAGCCCATGGTTCACCCAAAGGTGTAGTGAGGCCAAAACCAAGTGTGCTAGAGAATGGATGAAGTAAAGAAGGCAAAGGACACAGGAGAATAAGGAGAGAAGTTGCAGAGCCAGAAATGAATATGCACAGGTAAGAAGGGAGGCCCAACGACAATATGAAAATGACATAGCAGTGAAAGCCAAATCCGACCCGAAGTTGTTGCGCAGCCACACCAGGAGGAAAACAACAGTCAAGGACCACATAATCAGACTGAGGAATGGGGGGAGATCACAAGAAACGACCGCGAAGTATGTGAGGAACTCAACATGAGTTTCAAAGTAGTGTTCACAGAGGAGACAGAAGGGACTCCAGAAAGACAGAAAGGTGGGGTACACCATCAAGTGTTGAACACAATACATACAACCGAGGAAGAAGTGAAGAGGCTGCTAAGCAAGTTAGATACCTCAAAGGCGATGGGGCCTGATAATATCTCTCCATGGGTCCTGAGAGAGGGAGGAGAGGCACTATGTGTACTACTAACAACAATATTCAACACATCTATTGAAACAGGGTGACTACCTGAGGTATAGAAGACAGCAAATGTAGTCCCAATTTTTAAAAAAGGAGACAGACACGAAGCATTAAACTACAGACCAGTGTCACTGACATGTATAGTATGCAAAGTCTTGGAGAAGATTATCAGAAGAGTGGTGGAGCACCTAGAAAGGGATAAGCTTATCAACGACAGCCAGCATGGTTTCAGGGACGGGAAATCCTGTGTCACAAACCTACTGGAGTTCTATGACATGGTGACAGCAGTAAGAGAAGAGAGAGGTGGGTACACTGCATTTTCTTGGACTGCAAGAAGGCGTCTGACACAGTTCCACACAAGAGATTAGTGCAAAAGCTGGAGGACCAGGCAGGGATAACTGTAGACAGCCTGTACTGTCCTGCACAGACAGCCCAGCTGCTCCCTCAATCCACTGGGACATAACAAATAACCCGCACATCAGGAGACAGAAACTTACCTTCGACGTATCTTTCCACTTGGACCATTTACTCTAACATTGTTACCCGTCCGGCAAAAGACGCCACTAAGCTGTGGTGTCTGTTCATGTCTGTTACGAGGATGGGAAATTAAAGGTGCAAGGATATACTGACAATGTTTCGCCCACCAGAGAGCTTTATCAAGTCATAAACAGAATTTGTTTGTGAACTTGATAAATAACCACAGTGTGTTGTGGCGAAATGTTACTCGATAAAGGATCGCATTACATGCATTTGTGTTTTATTTTTCATCGTGTAGGTATTTTATTCCATATATAATCCTGCGGTAAATGTCTGCGTTTTGATTTTTTATATTCTTGATTGTTCCCTATTCTAATAGACTGAGCCAGGATCTTCGATCGCACAAAACTTTGAAGTCAAGCTCAAGCATTTCCATATAACAATTCGTTTTGAAAATCGTTGTATGAATATTTCAGGCTGCGGTTCTTTGGCATTTTCCCTGAATCACAAGGAATTCCTACGAGGAACATCTTGAGTCAGTGGACCACATTCCTAAGCGGTGAGACTGAATGGGGTGCCGTATGGAAAGAGGCGAGTGTGATGTAAGAAATAAACTGACTTACTGTAGGAGGTAATTAAACGACACTACGTGAAATGAAAGACGGGTACTAAACGCATACCAAGGAAAAGTTATAGATAGATTTATTTCAGCAAGGATAGAGGTAGTAGTACAAAACCTATGATTTACAAAGGAAGTGCAGTAAGACAAAAGATATGGAAAATATATACAAAGAACAGCGGCAAGTCAATGGTATAAAATGACGGCGCACGATGGGTAAGAGAATACAAATGTACTATGCAAACCTTTATGGGACAATACATTTTCGCCCACACAGTGGGCTTATCAAAGTCACAAACCTAATAAAGCCACTGCGGTGGCGATTCTTCGTCAATTAAAGGAACACATCATATTGATTGTGTGTGTTTTACCAAGGAACAGTAGAAAACAGGACATGACCATAAGAGCTAGGAATGGACCACGCTAGGATAAAAAGATTACACAAAAGACAATTGGGCAAGACATAAAGGCTAAATAAGAGAACCAAGCCACGCTACGATGGAAAATGACGGAACGGTGAAAGAAGTAATAATTCAAAAAAGTATGGATGTAACTAACAAAGAATAATGAGTAGATGCAGGAGGATAGGAAGAAATGGATGCACAGCAATGATTACAAGGTTTGAAAAAAGGAAGGAAAAAAAAGTTTAGAGAGAGGAACTCTAACGGGAATTTTAATGCGAGAAACAGCGGGATCCAGACAAAATTTCACAAACCAGGCTGGTACCTTGTCAAATATATAAAGATAACTGAGAATACTCAGTTTAAAGAAGAGACTGAACTACGAGAATGTGGACTTTAGGAAATCAAGCTAATACCAGATGCGATCCATGACACAAAATATTGCGGGATTACGAAAGGATAGGACAAGCTGAGAGGCATTGAGGGCGAGGCCAGGGGGAACACTGATGGAAGTAATAAAGGCGCAGTTTGAGCCACAGCACAGTGACGTTAAGAAGTACTTTCTTAGTCTGAAGGTTGTAGCCGTAACGCGTCTTAATTCAAGAAACAAAAACCCACGCAGCTCCAAGGGAGTAGACATGATCGGCCTGGAGGCAGCACTCTGTAAATCGATCGACAAGAGTTGACAGGAAGGGCCAGTAACAATGACAACTGTAAGAAAAATAGGTGAGAACTTCAATACCAATGCTCGCAGTTAATGGTATTTCTGTACAAAATAGGTTTACAAGGTATACCTTACCTCTGATATACCTATGAGAGTTTCATGGTTTATTACGTCGGAGCCCGGCATGGACCAGGCTCGTCGATTACAGGGCTGTTGCTGCTGGAGGCCCGCTGTCCAAAATATCCATCACAGCTGGTTGTTCTGGCACCTAGTAAGATACTTGTCCACGTTCCTCTTGAGGCTTCTACCACTTGTTCCAGCCTTGTTTTGATATCTTCTGGCAAGATGTTGAATAAATCTAGGACCCCGGAATGTTGATACAGTGTTTCCCTTATCGTATCCACTGCACCCCTGCTCTTCACTGGGTTTTTTTTGCACTTCCTCCCATATCTCTCACGTCCAGTAGTTGTTATGGCAGTGTGCAGATTTGGGACAAGCCCTCGAGTTCTATCCAGGTTATATATTGTCATGTATCTTTCCTCCCGCTCCAATGAGTACATGTCAAGGAGCTTGCAGGCGTTCCCAGCAATTTAGGTGGCTTATTGGCTCAATGTGAGCCGTAACGATCTCTGTATTGTTCCAGCTCCGTTATTTCTCTTGCTTTGAACGGGGCTGTCAGCACTTAGTAAATATTCTAAATGCGGAGCACTTTAGTGATTTGAAGTTGTGTCACCATCGGCATTATCTCCCTTGTTTTGAAATGTTCTCAATACTACCGTTATCTTCCTGGGCTGTGTGATCTTTGTCTTTTGTTCCTTAAAAAAAGGTCAGCTGGCATACAATTATTCCCTAGGTCTTTTACCTGTTCCTCTTCGTTCTATTTGGTGACTCTTGTAGTTTTGTATATAGTGTTCTTTTTGAGTTTTTCTATTCCATTCCATACCAGGAGAACTTATCACCACCTGAAAACGTCATGTTTCATCTGTCCATGGAAATCCCTGCTCATGTCTTCCTGCTAATTGTTCAGTGTCTCTACCCGTTAGATTAGGTGGGGTTTGTTGTTGCTTATTTTTTGTGTCTTCTGCAAAATGAGATACAAAGTGTGACGGGTGTTTTTATTTATGTCTGCTATATGGAATGAGAAACAGCTGAATAGGTTGACCAGGACAGCGCATTGGGGGGGGGGGGCACTGAGCTTTGACCTCGCTGAGGCTGGATCTTGCCTCTGTTTTATATACTTTTTGTGTTCTGTGTAGTTAGGACCTGAAGATCCATCTGCTTACCTTCCCCGTAATGCTCCATGGCCTTCATTTTGTGTCTCTATCAATCCAATGATCGCATCTGTCAAACACCTTGCAATATTATAATAGAGTTGAAAAGAACAAACCTGAGGACTTTCTATTATTTATAACTTAGATTTGAAGCCAAGAATTTGTTAGATCTTTATTGCGAACCACTAATGCATGTTGTCTCGGTTATTGATTCCTGCTTAACCAGAACTCCCTAATCTTTTCGAACAATCTGTAGTATTAAGATCGGCATTTTCTTGGTTTTATGTCGCATGGTTGATTTCTGGCCACATGTGTAGAACTTTGCTCTGTCTATATTAATAACTGACATCTGCACTTTCGACATTGCATCAGTCTATTCAAATCATCCTGGATGTGTTCTAGTGTCCTATTTGACATGAATTGGACGGCCATATTTTGGTGTCATCAGCTAATTTGTTATGTCGCTATTTATTCCTCTCTATGTTATGTAATTAGTTGAACAAAAACGGGGCCAACACTGACCCACTGAGTGAACACCCGCTTTGTGACGTTGCCCCATTCTGATTTCTCCCACATTTATGAAACTCTCTGCTGCCTATTTGTTAGCCATGCCATTTCTACCCAAAGAAAAAATTTCTCCTCTATTCCATGTGCCTAAAGTTTCCTCAATGCCTCCGATGTGGAAACTCTATTCGAAAGCCTTATGATAGTCCATATACACAATATCATATTCATTACCATGATCTACTCACTCCTCAAATAACTTAGTCGAAAATGTTAGTAATTTCGTTAAGCACAGGACGAACTCCCCTTGTAAAAACAGTGTGAGATTCATTATTCAATCTGTGCCTATCATGATGGTACGAATTGTGTTCGGGCAATTATTGATTCCATAATCTTTCCCACTTTGGTGGTAAGGCTTATTGGTCTACTATAGTTCGATGTGCCAAGACCTGTCACCTGCCTTGTAATAGATATTACATTTGCCATTTTCCATTTCAGGCACTATGCCAGTTTGTAGTGATATGTTAAAAAAGATTAGCCAAAGGTACACTAAGTTCTCTTTGACATTTCTTGAACGACCTTGCAAACTGTTCATCAGTACTGGGGATTTGTTAGGTTTTAGTTTCTCTATTTGTATGAGTGACGTGTCACTAGTTACCGCAATCGTGTCATTGGTTATTAACGTCTGTTCTAATAATCTATTATTTCACGGATAGCGCTAGTATTTTCCTGGGAGAAGAAACTTGAGAGGAGGTAGGTATTGTGAATTTTAACATATTCTTATCACTGTCCGTGGATCTGACCAGAGTTACTCTTAAGTGGACAGTTTTGTCCCTAAATCTTACTTCTGTATACCTTAAAATAACCCTTTTGGGTTAGACTTTGAATTCCTATCGCGACTTAGCCTCACAATCCCTTTTGCTTTTTTTTTTATTTATTCCTTTACTTTATGTTACTCTCTTTAATTGACAACATATTGATTTCTTAAGTGCATACCCCTCTTTTGATACGCCTTATATATGCTCTCTCTACTTGACCATGGTGTTTACTTTGTCCTCGCTCTTTTCAGATGGGAATCACTGGTTCACTACTGTGTACATTATTTTATGGCACGTGAATGAGATATACAAGAAAACCAGGTAGTCACCAGAAACAAATAACAAGCGTAATAAGATCTGAGGAGGTATCGCCATGTGGGAAAAGTAGTTGGCAGTGTTATCACATAAGAGAAGGAATTGAAGAGCCAGCTATTTACGCCAGCATCATAAACAAGAGGGTCTGCACACAATGTGATTAAATATCGATGCCGTACGTAAGACTACCAAATTTTAAGAAGGCCCCCATACATTTATTAAAAAAAAAAGTTCAAAGATTTTCCAACAAGTCTTGTCCTAAGCTACGTGTAAAACACTCGAGAAAGTGAACATGGATGACCAATGGAAAAAAAAGAATAAGGGCGACATTATTTCGACTATACATAATACTAGGTGAAATATAGTGTCCTGAGTTGTCTGAGGAGACATGGCAAAATAGTCACAAGTTTAAGTTATTGAATACTGTTATAGAAACAGAAACAGATATGAAGCTTCAAGTGTAGTCGCAGGGGAACAATATGCATACAGACACGTGATGCCAGAACCGAAAACACATC